AATAAGTATTTGCCCATCTCTCCGGGAGTGTTCCATCGCAGTAACGTAAGCCCTATGATCGATCGATGCCAATTCTTTCATGTAATCATCTCATTTCAGAAATTGTGTACTTATAAGCCGTAGATTGTAATAAATAACCCAATATTTGGGCGACATTTGCCTTGTGTCCAAAATCCTTCATCTTCTTTTTGAAATTCTTGATTAGATGCAAAACACACCTTGAATGGAAAGCATCTGGAAAGAATTCCTTGACTGCTACCCTAATACCCTTGTCGGTGTCGGAAATCATTATCAGTTGATGTGGAGAATTGTAAGGCTTTTCCCTATCATACAGTAACATCAACAATCCTTGTAAGAACCATATCCAATTAGCCTCATTCTCCTGGACTTATATGCAATAAGCAAGAGGAAATATTCCCAGATTGCCCTCATATCCAGTGGCACTAAGTAGTATGTCTCTGTAGCGATCTTTAATAAATATTCCATCCAAAAATAAGAGAGGCCTACACCAAGCAATGAACGCTTCAATACAGGCATTATAACTTATGAACAAATGCCTAAACCTTCCGTCATCAGCATCAATAGCAACATGACTTCCTGGATTAGTTGCATGAACTATGGCTTCATACATGCATAAATATAACAATAAAGTGGTAACCTTAGCAATAGATTCATAACCATAACTACTAATCTTCAACCTTAACAACCAACAAGTATTCTTAACAACCAACCAATAACCTTAACAACTAATATATGTAGTTAGCAACCAATACGTAACCTTAATAACTAAAACATAAGAAGAAAAGAATGTACCATCTCAGTGAATTGTAAGCCTCATCATCGTCACTGAACAGGTCCTATTGAGCTGTCTCTTTGCTTTTCCACGCTTTAGTGTAGTTAATCTTGATGCCATAATTTGAGAGCTTGTCGTTCTTGATATCAACTGTACGAAGATCTAGCATAACCTTCAAAACAGCTTGTATTTGAGCCTGCAATGAACTTTCTTGATGCCATTGAGTTGTCAGCACTAGCTCCATGTTGACCACAGGTGTGGGTAGAACAAAAATTCTTTATAGGCATGATCGACGAATTTCTGAGTGGGAAAGCAAACAACATCCAAGGGCAACCCTGCATGTGCCTGAATCGGCAATGGACTCTTATACGTCTTTGTTCATTGTGGTAAAAATCATACTCGAACCTTTTAGCAATTGAATAGTATTGAAGTGTTAATCTAACTTCAGCAACGCTATCATTTCTGTCTAATTTCACGTATGACTATGTACCACTCAGCTAGGATCTTTGTTTGGTTGTTAATCGTGTCTTCCAGCAGCATGATCGAGTCGCTAGTGGGATTGTCATTAGGAATACGCTCATCATTACATGTTTGGGTGAGCATGGTAGCTACGCATCGCAAATTTTCTGTTAGGATAGTCCTATAGAAGTAAAAAAAATACATAACCTCATCAACGAACTCCTAACCTTAACAACAAACTCATATCCTTAACGACGGACCCGTAACATTAACAACAAATGCGTATACTTAACAACAAACGTCTAACCATTGCAACCAACTAGTATACGTAACAGCAAACTCATAACCTTAGAAAAAATCTTAAAATTATTTCATAAAATAAGCCAAACAATACATAACCTTAACAACCAGTCCGTAACCTTGATAACCAACTCATAACCTCAGCAACCAATGCATAAGGTTAACAACCGACTCATAACCTATCAGCCAACGCATAAGGAAATCTAAAGTGTAATGCCTAATGTCTACACATTTTCTAGCGTAGTTTGTGTGTTCTGAGAAGTTGAGGATTCCCCAGCGGAGGTAGCATACAAATTTGTGTCTGAAAATCTATTACGACAGTAATACTCGAACATCAAACTCAAGTCCTCATCATTGTTAATTAAAATACTAAATTTATTTTCCCTTTCGCATATGAACTTCAGTGAAAGAGATTGCATTGATATTTTAAGCCTTTGTGATACTTGATATTTCAAGCTGATGATTTTTGTAGTCTCTTTGATAACGACGAATACACTGTCACCCTCTTCGTTGCTTTGTACCTTTGTCACCACATAAAGAAGGGATCCACCCATCATTTTAAGTAAGGGAGTAGTTGAAGAATCAAAGAGTATTTATTACAGAGAATTAAGTTTAAGGAGAAAGAGTAGTTGGGGTAAGGAAATGGGGAGGAGATGATTTCAGTGGTAGGGGATTTAGATATGGTAATAATTTGGAGGAAAATAGGCCCCCCCCCCCCAAAAAAAAAAAACCATATTCTATTCACCATTTAATACTACAGTATTAATCCTAGATTTCGGACTTGCAAGGGTGACGATTACAAGCTGTCGAAGTGTATTTTGCGCAGTTCATGTGAGTTTTAAACGGTGTTTCACGTGGGAGCTTGTTTTGGGGGCTAGGAGAAAATCGTGGTGCTTATTGGGGGTAAAGCACCCGTTGAAAAAGTTTTGGAGGCCGGCACGTTCTGGCACGTTTTGGGGGCTAGAGGCATTTTTCCCAAAAAAATTAACATATGTCATATCATAAGTATCTAGACATCCCTTCATCCTAGTGGAAGATGAATGTGGACACCTAATCTTATATTTACCTTAAAATTATCATCAAATTAAAACTATTAGATTATAATTATCCATAATTAAAATATCTTATATATGTATATGTGTGTGTGTATAAGATCACGTAAAAAGCCTCTCTACGTAAAATCATTGGTTAATTTTAAAAAACCCTCCCATGTTATTAATGATGAAGAAAACCGGACCCCTAAAATTTGACGCATTTTGTTAAGCCCCCCCCGCTTTAAGCAGAAATTTTGGGATGGCCCTTGAAATTTTGTCACTTAATCCCCCTTAAATATGGGGTTTGTTTCCGAAAATCCCTGTCAACTATTGTAATTTGGGAAACTTGCTCAAGTTTGAGTCTATTATCGGTTTTTAAGATAATTCTAGGAATAAATATTTGGATTCTTAAGATATTTTAAGGATATTTTAAAATTATATATACTTTTCTAATAAGTTGAAATTCTAATGCGAACATCACAAAAGTAAGGTTTAAGTGTGAGATTATTTTAGATTAAATCAATATGTGAATGCCTCATATCTTATCTATCTAAGATGTTTTATTTGATTGCTTCATGTTGCATGGTTTAACTCAATGTACTCTATAGTTCATATCAAATCTAAAGGTTTTTATACTAAAATATCAACTATATGACCTTGCCAGCTAGCAAAATCTAATAGTTCCTACATCAAAAATATATTTCCAGTGTTGTAATCATAAATGGAGCACCAAAAGTTTTTAATATTAATTTTTATAGATGTTATAAGTAAGGAGAGATATTACAAAAAAATTGATGGTTAAACTATCTAATTTTAAATCAAAATTTTAAAATAAAAAATATCCATCAGCTCATTTAGCAAGCTGACATTTCTTTTTCTCTTTTTCCCATAGAATTTTATAAATAAAGAGGAATATTGTGACAGAAATGCTGGTAAACTATCTTACTTTGAATTTTAAATTTTGAGTAACAATCGTCCACCCCTTCTTTTGAATTTCAAACTATTAGAAAAAAAAATCCAATTCAGATTATCTAATTTTCAAAAATTCATATGCTATAAGTCATTAGTATAAGTTATTTGTATGCTTATATCCATTAAAAAATGTGTACGTATGGAAAATAGAAAAGAAGAAGCAATAGTTTAAAAAATTTATATTTTTTTTCAATTTAAAAGCATGTGCAAATAACTAAAGATGAAATATGTAGGGCCCAAACTTCTGAGCTAAAAAAAAATTATACTCTAACCTTAAAACCTAATTATGCGTGTTTAGTTCCAGCTACCCACTCCATATTACTTATTCTACATGTTAGACTTATTCATGCGTGTCATGACCCCAAATTACAAACCTAAAAGGAATATTGGAGCCAGACTAAACCTGTGAAAAATCCTCCAAAATATGCATTCATTAAAAGACTATTAAAATAATATCTTCATTGATCTAACACCAACAGTAAATATTCTCTATAATCCAAAAAATCAACATTGATCCAATTAACTTGATATAACAATCCTCAACTTGAAATAAAACTCAACCTAAAGGAAAAATCTCATTATTACAAATCTCTCAATATCAACTAAGCATCAAAGACTTTATTCAACCTTCACCCAGAAGATAATAACAATTCCAAATTTTATTCCTTGCTCACTACCACATTTGAGGCCTATGGGGACGGTTCTGAACCGTCACCTTAGGCATGGAAACCGTCACACTAGCTAGGTCTATGGGGACGGTTCTACATCCAGTCTCATTTGCAGCCGTGCCAGTAGGTCTAATGGGACGTTTAATGCTCCTAGATGCACACGATTTTGTAAACCGGTCCCCAATAGTACCATAAGGGAACGGTTGTGGGCTAGGAGGCGGTCGTTCTTAGTTTAGAGCAAGTGGAACGGTTGATATATCAAGCGGAACGAGGTTTTTAGGTTGCAACCTTCTACATCCGTCTCATTTGCAGCCGTGCCCGTAGGTCTAATGGGACGGTTTATGCTCCTAGTGCAACGATTTGTAAACCGTCCCCAATAGTACCATAAGGGAACGGTTGTGCTAAGGGGTCGGTTCTTAGTTTAGAGCAAGTGGAACGGTTGTATATCAAGGGGAACGGTTTTTAGGTTCTAAGCAAGGGGAACGGTTTGATAGCAAGGGGAACGGTTTTTAGGTTCTAAGCAATGGGAACAATTTGATAGCAAAGGGAACGGTTTCTATGGGGACGGTTTTTATACCAAGGGGGACGGTTTCGAGCTTGACCTAAGAGGACAGTTATATTGTCTATGGGAACGGTTTTGTTTGTGATCTATGAGGATGATTTTTATACCAAAGGGGACGGTTTTCATTTTTACTGATCAAAACAAATCACCCAGATATCACACATCAGTCCATCACATACAAAGAAACAATAGTCCAAGTTTTACACACAAACTAACCAAACTTTAGCCTTAATATAATGAACAATTCATTACAACGAAGAACAATATTATAGCAATAGGATTGAGATAATTCTTCACAAGTTTTACACACAAACTTACCAAATTAAGCACATATCACAAATCCTCCATGATTAAAACAAAGAGCTACTACTTAATCAAAAGGTCAAAATGTCTCTATTGAGACGATTAAGTTCTAAATCTTCACAACAAATAAATCCCCCAAAGAGCGACAAGCATGGATCTTCAGATGTTTTCCTGCGTACATCAAGATAAAAAGATGAGTAAGCACAAGTATTAAACCCTTCAAAGTAAATGTATAAAGTTATCAAGTCATTTACAACATAGAAATTATCAAGATCAAACTGAGGTTTAATTAATGGGATCGAGGCCCTATATTCAAGATCAAACCATGACTTATATAATGAAATTAAGAGTAAGCACAAGTAGAATAGAAGAGACACGGATGATAGAAGGATAAAGGTCATTAGAGTCATAACTTATTGCATGAAATGGACTGTATGTGTCTCTTTAGAGTCATAACTTATTGCATGACGATCATATTTAGGTATATAACACCTCATTTCGGGCGAACTAAGAAGCAACCAATCCAAATCAAGTTGTCATAATACACAAAAAAGAAAAAGAAAGATATAACAAAAGAAAAAACTACCTCATTTCGTGGCTGATGGCTGCTTGCAGATGAGCGAGGATGATCATGATTTCGAGCACTACCACCTTGCTCAGGTGATCTTGTGCGTGCAATAAGTCTTGCAATAGCCGCCGGATCAATTGTTTGCCCAAGTGTTTCAGTCAAAAGCTCAGCGAAACCATGAACCAAATCTGCCTTCTGCTCTTCAAACTTTTTTGTCAACTCTTGCTCAACTTTTTGTGATATAGTTTGAACAACAGATTCTGGAACTTGCTCCGAGGGATCCATGATCTTTTTATTTTTATTCTGGAGCATGGTTTTAGTGACACCCCTCCCCCTAAGACGTACACGTCCAGGATGTTCATCTTTCTTGACTAAATCCCATGCATCATCATCTTCATCTTGAGATTTGAGTTCTTCTAAAGCACCCTGCATTAGCAAAATTTATATTTAGTTGCTATGCATGTTATATGAAAATTAGGACCTAAAAAGCAATATATGAATATTAATATTTAGGAAATATGGCACATTCTTACTATCAAATTGATTGTTTTCTCTCCTTGTGGATTTATCTTCTTTTTACGGGTCTCAATAAACATTTCAGCTTCACTTGGAGGTCTTCCCAACTCATTTTCCTATAATAAAGACATGATAGTTAAAATATTGATAAATACATTAAAAACAAACAAAATGAAAGGATGCAGTTAATAAGTAACACTAAAAAAATTTTTAAATACCATTTTTTTGCGAATCCTCGCAAAACTTATTGTCCCCGTAGTGTGCATATATTCTAGACCTTCACGATTTGCTTTGTTGGTCTCACTTGTTTTCTACACATATAGAAGGAACGTGGATTTTAAAAAACAACCAGACCATTAGTATGAAACGATAAACGAGTGAACAAGAAACGATAAACGAGCCTATAACTCCTGTAAGTATGAATTCAATAATTGATAGTAGTACAAGATGGATGAGGCAAACAACGAGTACTTCATCATCTCAGGGATACAATTCTTGGCAATTTAATGTACCTGGATCTTCCAATGCTCGGTCTGGAGCGCCTCAAAATGGTTAGGAAACATGACTGGAAGTGGAAGTGCTGATGGTGGATGCTGTGAATGTTAGGAAATAATAGTACGCTGCAATTGTAGTCACTGTTCTTCGAGTGTTATATGTTAGTATATTTGCAATTTGGAATTACTAAGGCAAGCACATAATTTATACTGTTTCTTGTGAGGAGTATATTGTGTCTTGTGTCGCTTCACTGTATTGAAGGATGGCTAATTACTTAGATTGCTTGTTGTTATGTTTAAAAGATGGATTTCTATTTAATTAAAGCTATAAAAATGTTAGGACCGGTTGATTTGAAAAGACGAGAGAGAATTTAGATCCTTATTGAGCATTTGTTATTTTGCAACTTCCTGTGGCATTTATAAAATTTATAACCGCAGGAACAAAAAAGACATGTTTCTCTCAATTGACTAAAGCAAAACCTGGATTTTGCAAAATGAATGAAACAGTAGATATCAGCCTCTCTTGTATGTAAGTCCTATAACTGCAGTAACATGAGAGACACCGGAAGAGACATGGGTAACTCTTGTATGTAAGTCCTATAACCACAGTCCTGTATTAGATAATTAATGCAATAAATATGTAACTTATTCCTCTTTTTATTAGTGTCAACTTGAGTTTCGTATGTGCATGAAGTTTGTAACAGGAATTGCCATCGCCTAATAGCTTTCAGTGCAAAAGAAAGAAAAAAACAAATTTCAAGAATCAAGCACATATCTTATAATCCTGATTGCTATAAGCATGATAAAGCAATGTTACAGTTATTAATTAGTTGAACTACTCTAGGCTTCAAAGCTAAGACAAGAACTAATTATATGAAAGTTGAAAGCTATTTCTTAATTGCTAGATGTTCCAGTCAATATTGCATGAACATTGTTTTGAAGAGACTCGGGTGCAAGTCCCATGTTCAACATGAGCATTTGAAGTGGCTGATATATGCATTTAGTCAGATCATCACAGATCATCAGATACAGAATTCCTAGGACCAACTACAATCTCAGGAAATTGAGCATTTACATAGAAATGTAGTATTATTTTAGAAAGTAAAGTTGCAATTACTGATTAATAATGTACCAAATTCATACAATATACACAAAAATGAGTTTCATGGCAGGTTTTGGAAGATAGCGTGTAAAATTTGTGGACATGTCTGTTTCAATTTAACAATAACTGAAACTTCTTTTAAACCCACTCTGATTATTACTGATTAATACTGCAGAACACTGGAAGTTCATGGGGGTTTAGTGTAACTTAACATTCATAAACCTATACTATATTATACAAAGTTTTGCCAATTCCTTTCCTACTTTAGAAATGGCAGCTTCTGGTATTACTTGAATGTCCATAGTTAACAAAGCAGGTAGGTAAACATTTCTGACTTCTTCCATGCTTCGACAACTCTTAACACAATCTGAAACATATTTTTATTAGCAAATGATATGTTATTGTGTTCCTATATGTATCTGAGGAACTCAAATATATTCTTTAATTAGAAATCACACTGAATTATACATTATGAGCAAAATATATATATGATTTCTGAACTGGTGAATTACTGGTGCATCATGCACGAGTATCTTATTAGATGAGGAACACTAACAATAGACTATTTATCCTAGTTATTAACTCAGCATGCTAATATTTTAAGCTTATAGGGATAAAGCCTGTTAGAATATTATTTCCACGTTTATACATTTTCCCAACTCTAGGTAGTCAATCATTTGTAGTTACCTCTGAGGAATAACAAGAAAAAGGTTTACAGAAAATTTTAAATAAAAATACATAGCACTAATTAAGAAGTGAATTTAGAAGTGAACCTAATAAAAATTATTATTATAACTTAACTAATCATAATACCACCAAGCTTCCTGCAAACATGCGTGAAACAGATAATATAGAGAAGAGTGCTTGTTGTGAAGCATAATTGACCTTTGATTGTTCGGAGTTCCAGAATTTGAGCAAGGCTTTAAATTCTATTTCAGGTATAGTATTTGGCCGTGTCTTTAGTCTTTGTTTGTCATTTTTGAACCCGTCAAAACATTTTTATTGCTACCATGCAGTATGTCACCATATGTTTGTTCTGTTAGTGATAAACTCTAGTATGTAAATCAACCGAAGGCTACAGCAGCATATATAAACAGAAAAAATAGAAAAAATAAATTATCTTAAACAAAAATTAAAAACATATACCAATTCAATTTTGCGGAATAACCTTGTCCAGTAAGGATGTAGAATTTTCAACCACTTTCAATGATCAACCAAAACAACAAAGCCCTAATTTGTAAAATCAAATAAAATTTTCATTAAATAGAGAAAAAGGAAAAAAATTGAAACCCATGACTGAAAAGGAGAAAGATATACCCCAAATCACAACATGATAGAGAGGGGATAGCGACGAGAGGCACGGCTAACGGGGGAGGCGTGGCGAACTGACGAAGTGAAGGTGGCCGGCGGTGAACGGAGGCGTCGACGAGAGGAAAAAAGAGAGCGGCGGATGGGGGAGTCGACGAGAGGAGATAAGTGACGGACGGCGCACGGGGGAGTCGACGAGAGGAGAGGATTCGACGAGAGGAGAGGAAGATGAGAAACCCTAAAACTATCGGGTGAAGAAAATTTAGAGTTCGGGTCAGGCGGTTCTGAGAAAGAAAATAAATTTTGTTAAAAAAGTTTGGGCGCGAGTCTTTTACAAAACCGTCCCTTTAGCCTACTAAATTTTTTTTTTAATATTAATTCAAGGCCAACACTTTATTTTGGACTGTTGCCTTAGACTTTTTTGTGACGATTGTAACCGTCACACAACCGTTCCCTTAGGAGGCAAAGGAGACAGTTTTGAACCGTCCCCAAATAACCGTCCCCATATATCTATTTTGTGGTAGTGTAATTAATAGAAACCTTACTAATGCAATAAAATACTATGATCCGCCTTAACCTGAGAAAATTTATAACAATGATGCACATAATTATAACTTTAATTTATCTTCTAGTATAAATCATCTTTCTTCATAAATTCTTGTGTTAATTGGAGTCAATGTGTGATTTCAGGCACTGAACACGTTGCAGTAATTTTGAGGAGGCAAAGGAGACAGTTTTGAACCGTCCCCAAATAACCGTCCCCATATATCTATTTTGTGGTAGTGGCTCCGTTCTAAGAATTTGAAAAAAATCATCAATTCCACCTAATCTCGATTCTCTAAAAAGAATGAAAACAACATAGTAAGTTCACAACTCAATAAGTGGATGAATTCATACATTAAACACCGGTTTTACAAAAAATTCAAATATTTTGATAAATGATAAGCAAATATAAGAATGATAGAGAATCATCAATGAACTCTAGTACTTAATGTAAATATTTAAGGAAACTTAAAAATTCAGGAAATAGAAATAAGCAGGCTACGTCTCAATGCAGTCAACACTTCATACCCCGGTTGACTCGGTAAACCCCACAATTATTAAGTCCGTGGTTCTGGGACGGTGAGACCCAAATTTGAGCTCTTAGCGCTAAAACAAAATCTCATAGAGGCACATTGAGCCATGTTTTAATAACTTGCTTATATCCGTCATATACCGGTAAACAAATATCAGTCGGGTCTAAACAAGTCGGGTAAACAAAGATCAGTCGGGTAAACAAAGATCAGTCGGGTCTAACACATATAAAACTATTCAAACAATATATATTATATTAATAATTTAGCACCAAGCTGCTCCCTCTACTATTATCAATCAGTAAACAAAGATTAGTCGGGTCTAAGCAAGTCCAAAATTTTAATATTTCATGTCCTATCACATATGGACAACCATGATTATAAATTATTTTTCATAAAAAAATCTCAAAGAAGAGATGAATGAACATTGTATTAGGCTAAAAAAGAAAACATCTATGACCATGAACCGCACGCGCGCAAGAGAGAGAGAGAGAGTGTGTGAGTGAGAAGCCTAGGGTTTTCTCTATTTTTTTCTTTTGTGAGCGGCGGAACAGAGACGGGAAGGAGGAAGAAGAGGCTGATGGATGAATTCATACATTAAACACTGGTAAGTTCACAACTCAATAAGTGGATGAATTCATACATTAAACACTGGTTTTACAAAAAATTCAAATATTTCGACAAATGATAAGAAAATATAAGAATGATAGATAATCATCAATGAACTCTAGTACTTAATGTAAATATTTAAGGAAACTAAAAAATTCATGAAATAGAAATAAGTAGGCTACGTCTCAATGCGATCAACACTTCATACCTCGGTTGACTCGGTAAACCCCACAATTATTAAGTCCATGGTTCCGGGACAGCGAGACCCAAATTTGGGCTCTTAGCACTAAAAAAAAATCTCATAGAGGCACATTGAGCCCTGTTTTGATAACTTGCTTATATCCGTCATATACCGGTAAACAAAGATCAGTCGGGTCTACGCAAGTCAGGTAAAGCAAGATCAGTCAGGTCTAACACATATAAAACTATTCAAACAATATATATTATATTAATAATTTAGCATCAAGCTGCTCCCTCTACTATTATCAATCAGTAAACAAAGATCAGTCGGGTCTAAGCAAGTCCAAAAATTTAATATTTCATGTCGTATCATATATGGACAACCATGATTATAAATTATTTTTCTATAAAAAATCTCAAAAAAGAGATGAATGAACATTGTATTAGGCTAAAAAAAAGAAAACATCTATGACCATGAGAACAAGGACTAATATAGCAGCAATTATCTTGTCCACCATGGCCATGGCTTCAAGCCACAAGTGCTTCAAAGCATAAAAGAAATATATACCTTGATAATATATATATATATATGGGGTTTGTGTGTGCGGTAGAACTATGACGGGAGGAAGAAGAGAGGTCGAATCGAGAGAGAGAGAGAGAGAGAGAGAGAGAGAGGGAGAGAGAGAGAGAGAGAGAGGGAGAGAGAGAGAGAGAAAAAGAGAGAGAAGCCTAGGGTTTTCTCTATTTTTTTTCTTTTGTGAGTGGCGGAACAAAGACATGAAGGAGGAAGAAGAGGCTGATGGGAATCAAAGAAATGGGTTTTTGGATATTTATAAAGCCCTTTTTTACTAATAGACCCTCTAACAAATTTTGCATAAAAGCCCCTTTACTTTTCCTTATATATATCTAACCAAAAACTTAGAATTATTACATATTATCCCTCTTAACAGAGGTTTTGTCCTCAAAACCATGACATACCTGAGTCTTCAAATAAATTAGGATATTTCTCCTTCATCTCATCTTCGTGCTCCCAGGTAGCTTCTTCAGCTGAATGATTTTTCCATAAAACTTTCACTAGCTTAACAATTCTTGACCTTAATGCTTACTCTTTTCGGTCCAAAATTCTAACTGGATACTCTGAATATGTCAAATCTTCCTTGACCCCAAGAGGCTCATAATGCATACATGACTCAGATCAAGTACACACTTCCTCAGCATTGATACATGGAAAACATTATGAATTTTAGCCAACTCTGGAGGCAATGCAATTTTGTATGCTATAGCTCCAACTCTCTCCAAAATCTCAAAAGGTCTAATATATCTCGGACTCAACTTGCCCTTTCTTCCAAATCTCATCACTCCCTTAGTACGTGATACTCTAAGAAAAATATGATCGCCGACTTCAAACTCTAACTTTCTTCTTCTATTATCAGCATAGCTCTTCCGCCTGCTTTGAGCTATACGAAGCCTCTCACGTTTCTATTGAATCTTCTCAGTAGTAATCTGCACTATCTCAGGACCGAGCAGCCTTCTTTCTCCTACCTGATCCCAACAAATAGGTGATCTACATCTCCTACCATACAGTGCTTCATAAGGGGATAAATTAATACTGGAGTGATAGTTATTGTTATATGCAAACTCCACCAAAGGAAAATGTTTTTCCCAGCTACCTTTCAAATCCAAAACACAAGCACGAAGCATATCCTCCAATGTCTGAATAGTCCTCTCCGATTGCCCGTCCATCTACGGATGATAAGATGTGCTAAAACCCAATTGTGTGCCCAGAGCATTATTCAAACCTTGCCAAAATCTAGAACGAAATCTCGAATCTCTATCTGATATAATAGTCACAGGTATCCCATGCAATCTCACGATCTCCTTAACATATAATTCAACAAGCTTCTCAAGAGAATGAGTAATTTCACAAGGCAAGAAATGAGCCGATTTAGTAAGCCGATCAACAATCACCCATATAGTGTCATTACCACTCTGACTCCTAGGAAAGTCGGTCACAAAATCCATTGTTACCTCCTCCCACTTCCACACAGGAATTGGAAGAGGCTAAAGTAGTCCGCCAGGCTTCTGATGTTCAATCTTGACCTGTTGGCACACCAAGCATTTAGACACAAATTCTGCAATATCCAGCTTCATGTCATTCTTCCAAAATGTTTCTCGCAAATCTCTATACATCTTCGTAGAACCAGGATGAACTGTATATACGGAACAGTGCACCTCCTCTAAGACTTCTTTCTTCAACTTTGGGTCATTAGGTACACATAAGCGGCTTTTAAATCTCAAAGCTCCATCATGAACTGTAAAATCATGTTGAAGTTCCCGCTCCACATCTGCCTTAATTTTTATAAGAACTGGATCATTACTTTGTGTAACCACAAGCATGTCAATCAAAGTAGGCTGAATTTTAAGATGTGCAAACATCACTCTAGTTCCTCGAAGTCGAACATCAATATCAAGTCTCCTCAAGTCCTCCAACATATGCTTCTGATTGTGATCAAAGTGGCAACACTAGCATAGGACTTCCTACTCAAAGCATCAGCTACCACATTCACCTTACCGGAATGATAATGAATATTAAGGTCATAATCCTTCATTAGCTCCAACCATCGCCTTTGTCTCATATTTAACTCAATGATAATGAATATTAAGGTCATAATCCTTCATTAGCTCCAACCATCGCCTTTGTCTCATATTTAACTCCTTAAGTGTGAAAATATATTTAAGGATCCTTCATTAGCTCCAACCATCGCCTTTGTCTCATATTTAACTCCTTAAGTGTGAAAATATATTTAAGGTTCTTATGAT